TTTGGAGAGCTAGGGATTGATGCCAAAGGCACTCCTATCACTGAACTGTCTCTACATCTATTTTTATTATTTTGAGACAGCGACCCCCTAAGTTCCTCAAACCAGCATTGAATTTGTGATCTTCCTGCCCACCCTTCCAAGTAGCTGGTATTATAACTGTGAACAAAGATCTGACATTTAAAGGACTTTTGAAGGAAACATTCAAACTGTAGAATGACACTAGTGTCCAGATTCTTTTCCTCCTAAGAGTTCTATCTAAAACTCTGCTCATTAAGCAATTCTCTTTCTTCCTTTCCTTAGTTCCTGTTTATCACTATGGTACTTTCTATCTCTGTAAATTTGGCTATTCTAAGTATCTCCTAGCTAGACAGACTCATAATGTTTGTCTTTTTGCAATTGGCTTATCTCACTTAGGATAGTGTTTTCAAGATTCACTCATGTTTTAGCGTATATCACAATTTCCTTTTCAAGGCTAAATACATTCCTTTGCAAATGTATACCACATTTTGTTTATATATTGTCATTCATTACTGGACACCTTGGATTCTTCTACCTCTTGGCTACATAAATAATACCATAGGAACATGGGTATATAACAAGCTTTTTGAGATCCATTTAATTCACTTGGGAATATATCAGAAATGAAATTGATGGATCATATGGTCGTTCAATACTTACCTTTTAGAGGAAAAACTATATTGTTTTCCAGTTCAATCACACTTTTTATCATCTAACCAATAGTGCATAGAGGTTCCACTTCTTCCATATCTTTGATAGTGTTAATTTTCTGCCTGTTAGCTTGTCTTTAATTTTTATGATGATCATCCTAATCAACTCAAGTCTTTTGCTGGTTTTTAAATCAGAAATTTTTTTTTGTTTTGTTTTTTTTCTGAGGTAGGAGTTAGAAAAGCTTATTTTTATTGTTTAATATTTTTGGTTCCATTTGTACTTTTCAAGTATGCCAAGTAGTATGTCAAGCCTTTGTTCCTATACCTTTAATAGAATGCAATAGATTTCATTATGGTAAGTGCATGTGCTTTTACCTAATCTAGCCTTCTAGGCATGAACTTGGGTTTTTGCAGTTGTACATTTGCCTTTTGTAGTTTCAAATTTTTAGCTTTAGGAGTGATATTCTCTGTAATTTTTAAAATCAAATTTATAAATGTTTATAATTTAACCTGTTAAGTAGCTCCATGAGGCTTGTTAAGAAAAAAAGAGTCCTTATTCCTTTCATATTTTGCCTTCACTAGCTTACCACTTTCAGTTGTGTGAGCTGCCCCATTTGATGTGTGCATCTTTTCTAAGGTTTGTATTTTTAAAAAAATCACAAAATATGTTGTTTTGAAATATTTATGCGTTGTGAAATTCAAAACTTTTATTTCTAATTTTTGATTTATAAATTGTAAATAGGTACATTTCCTATGGGGAAGAATGTGATGGCATCTCTACTTCTGTGCTATACCTCGCAGTCCTAATATTTAGGTCGGGACTTGTTACTGTGTTCCTTGTTACTCTGATGATGAGTGTGTTAATACCATTTATACCTGAGCTATGTTTGAAGAGTTCTACGAATCCTTTTCCTCTTCTGAGGTTTTGTTTGCCATTGATTAACCATTCCTTTGATATTTCTTTAGTTTTCTGTGTGTTTGTTACTTATTCAGTCTCAAACTCAATACCGAAATCTGCTCTCAGAACATCCAGTGGACAGGTGTGCTGTGATGGGGACCTGTGAGGTCTTCTTGCCTGTCACAAAGGGCTCTCCCTGTGCAATTTTGCCAGGAATAACTGTGAACAAAGTATCTTTTTCTTGATGTTCCTGTTGTTAAGTCTTCATTTGTTCCTGCCTACAAAACAGGGAGGAAGATAAGAAAAAGGAAGGCATGTGGCACAGGAAACGGATTCCAGCACTGGAGAAAAACAAGACTGATTTTATTTTCTGCTTTTATTGACTGTCTTTATTCACGTTTGAAATGTAGATTTTTTTTTTCTCTTTTTGACTAGTGGAAGTTCTTTTTCTGATCTCAGATAATTCTTTTCATGTCCATCCTACATTTAAAGATACTCCTGTCTCCTCAGCAATTTTAAGAACATGAACTAGACATGTTCTGAAGTTTTCTCTTTTAGGTCATGTGCATATGACTTAAATAAATATTTTCTCTGATTCTCAAGTCTTCCCTTATTTCAAAGTATAATAATATGTTGTATTGGTCTGGTAGATTTGAATTTTCCTCTTGTTTATTCTTGGAGATGAAATCTTTTGCACATTCAGTATCAGGTATTGCCTGGTGTTTTTTTTTTAGGAAACTTGTAAGAGTCACTGCTTGTCTGAGGTCCAGAAAAATGAAAAAGTAAAAAGGCTGAGTTTGTAGTAGATTCATTTACTAATTAGAAATTCATCTTTCTGTGAGGCCTGGGGAGGAAGCCAACATCCACACCAGAAGTAATCAAATAGAAGTTTGCTTCACACTAGACTTTCTTGTAGGTATTTGGTGTGGCTCTCAGTTATTAGCAAAGTTATTGTCCTTTGGCGTGGCTGCCCTCCATGCTCCATGGAAGCGAGCTAGCGGCATTCTTTTCTTTTATATTTGCTGAAGTCTTCTTCACTGCCGTATGTAAATCAGGAGCAAATGTAGTTAGAGATGACTTACTTTGATTTTGGTTTGCTTTTGGTGCCAGAAACCCCTTAAAAGAGTGTATTTTAAAGGTACCCAATTCTCTCCTGGCCTAGTTTCCTCCAACCCTCATCCCTTTGAAATGAAGGCATCACTCCAGGTCTATTGGGTTCTCATCTGTTTATTTTCTGTACATTCAATTGCAGTGTCTCATGAAGAATGTAGTGTTTTAGTCTGTTTTTAAACGTCCCATCTTGATGTCTTTCCAGTACAGTTTCTGGACATTTTAGCATTAGTAGGATCAACCTGTAGTTTCTAGAACTGATTTTCAAACCCAGTCAATCACTTCTCTAGTCATCTGGGAAAAAAGAGTAAACCTCTATAGCTTTCTTTTTTGGGAATTGTACTTTTCCTAAAATTGTACTTTTTTTTCTTGTGGTGCTGTGATTGGAACCCAGAGCTTCCTTAAGCGGGGCACATGCTGTACCCTTGAACTACATCCCCGATCCCTCCTGAAGTATGCTTTTAATTGCCCACGATCCTTGCTCATCCACTTTGACTTGTCTACATTTTCTGTTCTTTTAAAGCTAGTCTACATATAATTTTAGACTGTACTTTTTATATTAGTTTTCATATCATTCCTTATTTTCAGGACCCTTTCTTTCACCCTTTTTTTGGTGGTAAGATGTACATAACGTGAAAGGTACTGTTTTAGCCATTTTTAAGTATACATTTCAGCAGCAACAGCTACACTCACGGTGTTGTGCAGCTGCCACCAATATCCATTTTCAGAACTTTTTCTTCAGCCCAAGCTGAACCTCTACCATTCTGAAATACACCGCATTACTTCCTCCTCCCAGCCCCCCATATCCCCTGTTCTACTTTCTAGTTTAATGAATTTTTGTGTCTGTATTTTGTATATATGATCTGAATTATAGGGGAAAGATAAGGATGTAATTCAGCCTGGTGACCATAGGGGAGTGCATGAATGGTCCAGTGAATAAACTGATGAAAAACCTATACATACAAAAAGCACTGAGGTAGTTTTATGGTTTAGGAAGATGTTGTAGATAACAAGAGATGCTGAGGAGAATGAAAAAGAAGAAAGGAAGGTTCAATAATGATGACCTAAAGGCAGCTGGAGAACCTGATGCCAGGGGAGTAAACCCACATTAGGTTGGTTTTTTGTGGCTGGAACAATTTGGGAGTTCCAGCAAAGGAAATGTAAAGTTAGGTTGATGACAGTTTGGAAGAATTGCAGGAAAGATATCAAGTACTTGGAGTTCATAGAAGTGTGTCTTTCTTTCAAAGTTCTTGGGCAATGCTATAGTTGACCATCTGGGACTCTGGCGAAGCAGAGACTAGTGTGTCTAAGTGAACCAGCGTACTCTTCTAGAAAGCGAATGGGTTTATTACTCTGCTGGGTATTGTCTTTCTGTTGTCTTGCCTAGTTATCCCATGATTTATGCAGCTTTGCAAATAAATTGAGAAGTAAGTGGGTTTCTTAGATGTAATTTTGAGACATCAATCCCAAGAATACTGATTTATACCTCTAAAAGAACATGGTTTGCTCCTTGTGTTTGGCAAAGGTAGTAACCATATGCTGTTTTATGAAGGGTACTTCAACAAAAGTGTTAAAACATATCTCAGATGCTCAAAGGTAAAGCAGTTTTAGCTCCTTTCTCCTGCAAAATATAAAATTAAAAAACTGTGTTTATTAGATATTTTAGATATAAAACTTACATCAAATTAAGAGGCACATAATTCCAGTTTTATATTGATGAGGGGAGCCTGGGGTTCTGTGTCAGAGGGTAACTGCAGGCTATCCGAATTACATTCTTCTGTCTTTAGGACTTCCTGAAATTTTTGTTTAAAAACACCCCATGCTCTTCATATCCCTTCCCTGGGAGAGAAGGAGACTGACTGCTGGTCTTGGTTGGGGTCTTGGTTCTCTGTCTTCTTGGCTATGCATATGTTGTCTAATCTTTCAAACTCTCAGGTGTTTGAAATGAGTGAAAAAAAGTCTGCCTCAAATTCTGTCAAATGTAGATGATTCATTATTTTTTTCTTTTCTTATTATTTAAAGGCAAAATAGCTTTTCCTCCTGTTCACTTTTCCTTTCTCCTCAAACTTATGCTGCCTCTCCAGAATATCTAGCTGGTACCGAGTTGAGCTTAAACTTAGGAAAATATACCCACTTACTAGCATTTCTACAAATGATACAAAAGTCATAACTTTTAGAAGTCAAATCCGCTCTGTGGGTTCCTAGTGTTATGAGACTAATATTTTGTACTTGGTATAAAAGTTTTGCTTCCTTTGGCCCGTGGTGCTTTACTCTTATATGCTGGTCCGCTTATACTAACTGTGGGTGTTCCTTTCCTTTTCCAGGTCCCCACTTCGTCTAGCATGACTGTGATTTGATCAGCAGCCACAAGAATTGGCTCCTGTGTCTGGCACTGGAGTGCTGGGGCCTGATCACTGCTCACAGCTCTAGAGCTGTCATGGCTACTGCGTCTACGGCAACCTCTGTCATTTCACAGCCCCAGGTAAATGATTCGAGCAGCTTAAGTTTGGGAGAATCGAAACTTTGTTAGATATTTAAGTTGGATTTCAGAAAGTAACTTTTATTCTAAGGGACTGTGTAAATCTCTTTTATTAGCATTCTCTGTGCATTTAGATAATGGTGCTTTTCCGAGCGAGGTACCATTTAGTTCAGGAAGCAGCTGAGACAATGAACAAGTGATTTTGGTGAACTGGCCTCTGTTTCCAAGAGACCTCAGTTTTGAGTACTTAGGACACATCAAACTCCAAACCAAGACAAATAGTAGCAAATTCTGCTGTTTTTGCTTTTGTGTATGTGTCTGTGTGTGTGTGTGTGTAGGGGAAGATATTTAATGAAATATCTCAGAAAGGATGTGATCTTACAACAAGGTCTCCAACCCTGCCTTGTTGTCTTCCTCCCATAATTATTGTTTTACTTTGATATTTTCTAAGCACTTTGAAAACAAAATGCAGTTCTAGAAACTTCTGAATAGTAGTCCTAGGAGGAATGTTTTCTGTCCACTTAAGAAGAGTAATACCGCAGAGACACTGCATTTGTTCAGGTTATTGCACAACCTTCTGGGTATTCAGTGGTCTCTTTAGGTTCAGCAGGCACATGGTACGATGGGGGAAACAGGCTTGGGAATCAGCAGGCCCTGTACCTGGGAAAGCTTGATAAAAAGCTTGATAAAAAAGGATAAAAATTGGGGGCTGGGGATTTAGCTCAGCAGCATAAGCACCTACATTGAAAGCAGGCAGTCGTGAGTTCGATCCCTGGTACCGATAAAAACGAAAAAGATCCCCACCCCCCGCAAAAAAAAAAAAAAAGGATAAAAATTAAACCTGAGATCATGCCAGCCAATCTCAGGTTTAATTTCTTTCCATGTACTTGTGCTTGACACGCTGGTTATATGGCATAGTTTCCCATGCGCTCTTTCTTTACCTTCCCTCTTCTCTTTAGAGCCTGGCATCTCATTCGTGACAGTCATTTTAAGCTAAGGTTAAAGAAAAGAGAAAGAGCTGTGTTGACTGAAATTTGAATCTTGATAGTATAGAAACTTTTTTGTCTGTATCATTTTTGCATGTTATTACTTTTTATGTATTTCAGTTGAGAGCGTCTGTGTTTTTAAAAGAAAGAATGGAAAAAGAGACGGAAGAAGGGGAAAGGGGGAAAGGGGCATTTATCCTTCATTGCTGTAAATTCCCCTCTTTTCCTCTAAAAGACCTGCATATTTTGTTGCATGAGTAAGGTCCTTGTTGCGCTTGAATGCTTTCAGTATTATGTTCCAGAATGCTCCGTGTTACCCCCATCACGTCATGATGTGTGTTTCTCTTTCTTTGCCCTTAATTTACTTTAGGTATTTTGTTACTTTTACCTTCAATAGTTTTGTGTGTGTGTGTGTGGTTCCTGAAAGAGTTGGAGAATAGGTAAAAAGAATTCAATGCCTGTTACTGGAGGTCACCATTGAAAGTCCAGTGCAGCTGTTCCCAGGTGCCTTTTAGGCTTGCGTGAAGTGAGTTAGACTGCAGTGTAGCTTTTCTGCACAAGGCATTTCAGTATCCAGTGACACTGTCATTTGTCAGCATTGCCAAAAGCATCACATTTTGTGCACATTTTCCTTATTATATAAGCTACTATAATCTGGTGAGTAATATAATACTTTCAAATGACTTGTTTAGTTAAAATGCCCTCCTAGTCATTTTTATGTAAATACTTGGGAAATGTGTACCCTTACACATGTCCTGTGGTCCTGTGGCCACTTGGGAGGAAGATGATAATTTAAAATCATGCACCTTAGCACATAGTCTGCTCCAATCTTGGTATCTATATTACAAAAGCACTCACATAGGAGGCCAAGGAATAGTATGTAGAAATATTCACTGAAGCATTGCTTAAAGACCAAAAAGTATAAAACTTGCTGAATATCTAATAGTGCAAGGACATAAACTCAGACATGCAGATTTGATTGAAATGCTATAAAACAGCTAAAAATGAGCCTATCAGCAGAGCTGAATTACTTTAAGTTATCTTATGGTGAGAAAGAAAAGTAAGATGCAGTTTAATCCTTATAGGACGATATCATTAAAACTATAATCCATGACTGTGAGTCTTTAGGGATAGAAAAGTGGAAGTACATAGTAAAAGGCCCAGGACACACATTTTCAATAGAATGATATTCCCCCAGAGGGCTAGAACTAGATCTTGAGAGATGAAAATAATCTCTCCCAAAGTTTAGGCTTACCTAACAAAACTCGCTTCCTTAGTATTTAATTTCTCCCTTAGAGAGAATTTAAATTTAATTGAAATTTTCTCCTTGAGGGCCACTCATGGAAAAAAAAAAAGAAAGAAAGGTCAGCAAATAGTTGTTTCTTAAAGCATGCACACGCCCCCCCTAGTCAACAGCCTGAGTTAAATCCTGGCTGAGCCTAAGGGAAAAGTGATCATGCTCTCAGTGCCTTGATTTCCTCACATGCAGAATGAACAAGGCAATCATAAAGCCTGTCTCAGGTTGTTTTAAAGATGGCATGAGAAAATGTGTACACAACTTAAAATAGGTCCGACATATATTGTGCAATTATATCAGCAAGGGTTGTGATAAATAAGATAAAGAAGGCTTTTGCCCTCCCTGAGTTTAGAAATGTAATGCAAGGTATACAGATAAGTACACAGATTATAGTGGCATATCACAAAGCGAGGACACAGGAAGTATTGCTGTTATAGGAGTAAACTGGAACCCCCAGAAAATAGTGGGCAGACCAGGGAAGGTTTTTCGAAGGAAGATCACCAGACTGGTGTCTAATAAAAGAGTATGGATTATTTTGGCAAGCGAGTAAGAAGGGTATGTGTGAGGGTCAAATGTCCTGTGGTGAAAGACAGCATAGCAGCTAGAATTTAGTTTAGGGTACTACAGTATAGTGGAACATGTGGTTGTAAACACCCATGTCCATAAGCCACATCCAGCAGTTCATGAAGACTGATTGTTAAATTTTAGAGAATTTTGTGAGTAGACTTCAGGCCAGTAGCTTGAGATCAATCCTGGTGGAATATTTATACTACAAAACTAGGCAAATGGTAAGCATCAACATAGATGAACTAGGTTATGAAGTCGGAGGTTTTGCAGCCTTTCTAAGCCATCTTAAGGAATGTCATGTAGAATTTATAGATACCTGTGCAGTTCAGTGGTTAGCCAGACTTTGGAGACTTAGCTCTGGATACAAGTGTTTTGTGTAGTATCAACCCTTCAATAGATACAGGCTTTGGAGGGGTCTGTTGAGTAAATCCTATATTAACATTTTGACTATATGTTGGGTGTAGTGATAGCCTCTAGTATTTGGGGAAACACATCCTTTTGGAAGACGTCATCTGTGACCTGGGATATTAGGTCATAAGGAAAGCTGGCTTACGCTTCAGGAGAGATAAAGACTGTCTCAGTTATTTCCTCATTGCTAAGATGAAATACCCAACAGCCACAAGTTAAAGGAGGAGAGGGTTATTTTGGCTATTTATAAAGTCCATAGTTAGCTGATTCCAAGAAAGGAGGCATGGCAGAGGGGAAACAGCTCATCGCATGGCAGCCTTGAAGCAGAAAGACGTCAAGGGAGTAGGAAGGATGTACAATCTCTAGACCACAGTCTCAGTGACATGCTTCTTCCTTCCAGGCTTCACCTCCCAACATCACACCCAGCTATACACCCATCGGTGTGATGTATTCCAAGGAGTAGCACACACCCATGATCCCTAAAGCCGTATATGTGAGCACATAAGGCGTTGGGTGGGAGGGACATCTAGATATAAACCATAACAGAGACCATTGCATCATTTAGTTTGAGGATCCTCTGGTTGATGATGGGTCTCCTAATTATATGTTAACTCTTCCCATGTAATTTGTACAGTCAAATTTTAGTCCAAGACTGGCTTGACCTTTTTGCCATGCCTCTTTTCTCTTATTAGCACTTTCCTTCCAAATTCAGAGAAGGTTGAAAGTATTTAAACTTAGCCTCTCCTTAGCATAATGAATTGTTCACTCAATCAGTTTAGCCCGGTATTGAGTACATAAACTTGATCTGCATTCTTTAGAAGTGAATTCAGGGATCTATGCATAAAGATAAACCACTGTTAATATACAAGATCTGAAAACCCTCTTCCAAGGCAAAAACAATTAAATAAAAAAAGTTTGGTTTTGTTTGTTTCTCTATTCATCTGATAACAAAGTGCATTTTCTAGGTAAGGCTGCCTAATACTAGATATAAACTAATTAATATGAACAAATGACCTGTGATTGTTTCAAACAATAATAGAGAAGAAAGCTTTCGTTGTCACTCCTGCTGGGATTGCTATTTAGTCCTTGAAAACTATGCCTTGTGCTTTGAAGTGAAACAAGCCTGCATTCCCTGTTTTACTCCTGCCTGAACTGAGACAGATTTTTGTTTTCTCATGCTGAGAATGCATCTAATGCTTACAAAGCTAGGTAAATTCCAAGGCAAAAGTGGAGTAGCAGCTGCAGGATGTCTCTGTTTGTAGCTGATTTATGCTTCTGCTATTCCAGACACTGATAAACAGCTTCCTTCTCCAGAGGAAGCTACAAGGATGTATTTGCAGACAGGAACTGTTCATCATTAGTTGAAGTTAATATTGAGAGAGTGGGGAGGGTGTAGGAAACCAAAAAACTTGACTTGCCACTCTCAGTAGCCCCTCTCTGTTTTTGGAATTCTGTTAAGCGTTTCTTTTATTCCGGTTGATAAAATTACTGTGAATAGAATGGGTAGAATTTAGAATTAAAATTTTTGCTTTCATTTTTGATGGAAGCTTCAATAGTTTAATACCTGACTGTACAAGTCAGTTTCTTTCAAACTGATAATAGAGGATATCTGAGAACTTCTGAGTTGTTTAGCTTCTTTACCTGTGAGTCCAGTAAGGAAGAAATCTTTTCCTTAGCATTTTACAAGAATTTCAGCCTGCCTCTCATGTGCTGTGACTATTTTGGTTTTAAGGCAAAGACAAATG